CCCCCCCCCGACTTTATGGAGTACCTAAAGGTGTGATAGTAACATGGATGTGAAAAAGATTACAAGTATGTCTTGCTTTGAAGACCCTGTTTGAAGAATAGTGGCTTATTGACACCTTGTGAGCCAAAGGAGCTGCAGTGGAATTTGGGCTTTAGGGGAAAGGATTGGATTTGTGTTAATTAAAACGCTCTGTGGAAAGCAATCCAAATTGGTATTTTGGATACAAAGGACTTTGAGAAGTGTTGTGTGTCTCTGACCTTACAGTCGAGGTGAGAAAGTTCACTAGAGGCATCACTGAGATCTTAATCAGTCCCCTGGGAATGTTAATACCTGACATTTCTAAATCACAGCATTGCTTATTTATTTTTGAATACTTTCAGCCATTCCTCAGCCTTACTGTGGGAGTGGAAGAGGTGCAAGTCATCCCCCACATCCCTTCATTTTTCCAGTGCAGTTCAATGAGGATTTTTAATGCCTTTTGTAATTATTTTTTTCTTGACTACAAAGGAGGAAATGTTAGGGGCTTCTCAACTTTGTTTGGGGTTGTTAGTTCATCCTAACTGGCAAGGGACTGAAGTGCCAACATACTCTGAGCTTGTTTTGCTTTGGGTTTTTTTGTCTTCTTTTTTTTTTCTCCCCAGCACCTGAAGAGGAGTATAATTGACTGTCAATGTTCAGGGTAATGATACAGTCATTAAGAAAAGGATTTATGTGGAATCCGTTGACAGCTCCACCCGTTTTGCATTGTACTTTTTGAGCAGAAAATGAAGGTGTTTGTTGTCACTGCTAATATATTTAATCTGATACTTTACTCACCCCCAAGGTGTCATTCCTTAATTGTCACCTTGGCACCAGGAGCTTTGTTTCTCACCACAGAAGCACCTTACCCTGTGCCACACTGCGAACTTCTGCCAGCTGCCACAGCTGCAGTTCTGGTGTTTTCATGTTAGCCTTTGTTTCCTTTTCAGGAGAACTGCCTTACGGATGATATTGGCATTTCAGGCTGGAAGGAGCAGGTTTTCCTGTCACACAGTGCCTTGCTGGCCAAGAGCTGCCAGGCTGCAATGGAGCTGGCCAAGCACAGCGTGGAGATTCAGGACATGGCGTTTCAGTATGGGAAGCACATGTCCATGAGTCATAAGGTACTTCTCCCTTCCTTCTGGGATCTTCAGTACAGAGAGACTTGTAAGATGTGTCCCTTTTGAGCTCTGCGACAGGCTGCCACTGTGCTGTAGACTGTTGCCAGCAGGTCAGTGGTGTTGAGAGGACGGGCTGCTGCCCAGCCTGAAGAGGTTTGCAGGAACTGCTGGGACGAGCAGTGTTTCTGCTCTGGCAAAATCACACTCCTGGTAACTTCATTCAAGGCTCTGTTAACATCCCTCTTTCTGTAGCAGCTTAAAAGTTTTCCTTCTCTACTCCTACATTCTTCCTAAAGCCACTGTCCCAGTAGCAGGGGTTGCAGAAGGAAGCCTGTGTTGGGTCTCAGCCACCCCTGTGCAGGGTTTGGTACCAAGAGACTCAACCCAAGCTAAGGCATGAGCTGCAGTGGCTGAAACACTGCATGTGTTCCTTCTGGATAATCTGCCATGAAGGTAACTTCCCAAGGTGGTAGCTGGGGGATAAGGAGGGAGGTCATCCCATATGGACAGAAGCAGCCTACACCTCTGCAGCAGCAGGATTTCCCAGAGAAGGCCTCTGACCTCCGTTAGAAGTCTTTCAGTCCCCAGCTGGAGCTAGTCTGAAGGAAAACACAGTGTGGAACTTGGATCCTTGGCACTCTAGTTTTGCCCTAAAGATCTGCTCCTACTGTATTGCACTACTTGCAAGTGTAGATGTAGCTGGAGAGAAGCAGCCAGGCCTCCCATCCCCTGTAGCTGAATTGGTTCAGACAGTTTCTGGTTCCTCCAGGAGGAAGAAGTGGTTTTATAAAGCACAATTTTACTGCTGTAGAAATGCCACAATGTGCTATTATCAGGTACAATTCTGCCAGTAAATTTCTTCTAGTGCAGACTGTAGCCTTAATATTTTGTGTATGCTTTAATATTACTACATTCACTATTGGACATACAATTGTGTATAAAGGATCACAGCATTTTCATAGAAACCACCTCCCTATGTAAAGTTTCTTTTGTCAGAAGAAGGGTCATACTGCATCATCTTTCAGTTGGGTACTGAAAAGTAGAATGTATTTCCCTTCACAGATTAAAAACTGATACTCTTCCCAGCAAATACTGGATCATTCTTTCCTGTTTTTCTGCTTCCTGCCACTCAACAGTCACATATCTGGCTACATCCCACCACTTGCCCAGCTCTGCAAGCTGTCTTTTACCTACTTCTTTGCAGATTCTCTACATGTTTCTCTTTACCACAACTTTCTGCCACTAAAATGCCTTCAACCTCTTACTGTCCCTCCCCCAGACTTTGAAAAGTGTAACCAAAATACAAGTGTCAAAGCAGAAAGTGGTGGGTAGGTACAGAACCAGGATATGGACCTCAATTTGTTGAGTGGGTGGGCATGTATAGACTGTCCCAGGAAACTGAAGAAAGGTGTTCTTCTTTTTCAGCTACATTCGGACCTCCAACCATTTGTTAAAGAAAGTTCTAGTGACACTATGGCCTTCAGTTTGAATTCTGCTCCTGCAGTCCTCCATCAGGAATTTCTTGGAAGGGAGGCATGGATCGAACAGATCAGAGAGGTAAATGTTTGGAATTCCCTAGAATTTCTTTTGCCATTTGTGTTGCTGTTCCTATTTATACAAGAGGCAAAGAAACTTAGAAGCTAACAGTGTACAAGACAACACAGAGGTTACCTCTGCTCTCCAGTGCTTAACACCTCCCTCTTCCAAGCTTTCAAGAGGGGGAAATCTAGAGACCTGACAGTCAAGCTCTGTCAGACTTCTGTGTGTCAGTGTAGATTCATTTGCCTGGAGCATATGTCTGTTCCTCTGCCCTACTTGTGCAGTCCCACGTCTTAGTTTGAAGCTACTTTCACTGGCAGCTTAAAGCAGAGAACTTGTGGTTGAAAGGTGGGCACACATTTCCTTCTGCTGACTTGGCTCTAGGAGCTCTAGGAGTAATTTTGGATGGAGGGGGAAAGATCTGGGGGGGACTTGGCTTCCCAACCACCACGAGATCTAGCTGGCTGGTATCCTTACTCTTCATTCTCTTCATTCAGCTGTTATTTTCCTCAAATCCTTAAATGAAGAAGGCAATAAGACTAAGATAGCTGCATGGTGTACATGGTGCTACGTGCCATGTAGCACAGCAGGACTCAGGTCCGTGAATAGTTTCCTGGCTATTGCTGAAATACAAATAGATTAAGACTATAGGAGACAGTGGGGAGGGAGAACACACCAAAATGACCAAAATTAAGCATTCTGTTGAGTTCCTGCATCAGTCAGACGTGTTTTGTCTGTCTGAGCAGCAGTGATGACTGCCACTTGGAAGTTCCTGCCGTTGTTACACAGATCTCTCAGTAGAAAGGCTGCTGCCTTCAGTCAGAAGCTAGCTCTGTGCAAACGTTAAAGAAATGATTGCAGGTGGCTCCTTCCCTCCCTGGTTTGAAAGCAGGACACTGGGCTAAGAGGGTGTGGAGTCTGAGCCTCTGCCTAGTTCTGTTCCTGATGTCCAGGTTGTGTCCTGCCCTCACATACCACACACAAGAGGCATAATAGGCTCTTCAGCAGTGAAATCTGGGGAAGCATATGCAGAACCTGCAAACTTTATTAGAGTTGGGGGATCTTCAAGTGAAGACCTTTTGTCATTTGGAAATTTGGGCTTGGTAGTTTATAAAGTGTGACAAGGACTTTTGGGATTCTCCAGTCTCACCACAAGGCTCATATGAGAGGTGAATGCAAATGGATTTGGATTGCAGCTGGGGAAGAATGGCATTACCACAGCACAGGGTATAAAAGCTCTGAAACGTTTTCCCATCTGCAGAATCTAGAGGAGGTTGCAGGACTCCAGGAGTGCTGTCTGCCTGCTTGCTAATTCTCCTACCAAACATGGGCATTATTGAAACAATTGAAGCAGTTCTCTCTGAAAGGCACATATGGGGGATAGGAGAAGGGAGGGGAGACCCACTGTGCAAAGGTATCTAAAAAGCACTACTTTAGCTCAGTATCAAGGGAAGCTCTTCCAGGAGCCTTTCTTAGCTCGTGTTGATTTAGAAAGGAAAATTCCCTTTCATTAAGTACAAGCTCCTTGAAATACCATCTGTAGTCCCACATTCTAGGTGACATTGAACACTCAAACCAGAGACTTTCTCATGTTGGCAGGACCACTAAGAGGATGCTTGTAGGCCACCCTCTGGTGCAGTGTCATCTGTGTGGATTAAACAGGCAGAGCACACACCAAGCACTCACTGTCAGGTAGAATTCGTGGTAGCTGAGTTTATGACTATGCATGTGGAAATCACATTATGGGCCTTTAATTACTGCTGAGTAATCTGCCTTTCTCCTTTGATTGTTTGCCCATATAAGCATTCATCAGAATCATCACAGGATCGTCCTGGTGGGAAAGGATCTCTGAGATCACTGGGTCCAACCCTCAACACAAAAAAAATAACCCCAAACAAACCCAGCCAACCACACACACTCCATCAAAAAGCCCCACAACCTTGGCCACTAGAGCATGCCCTGAGGTGCCACACCTACACATTTCTTGAATACCTCCAAGGATGGTGACTCCACCACCTCCCTGGGCAGCTGTTCCAGGGCCTGACCACTCTTTCAGTAAAGTAATTCTTCCTCATATCCAATCTAAACCTCCCCTGGCACAACTTCAGGCCATTCATATGATAGGTTAAAGGCAGCACTTCCTCTTGGCAGCTTCCTCCTCGTGCAGGAAGGTCTTGGAGTTAAGGGAAGTGGAGGAGGAGAGCCTGATTGCACCTTGTAGTCTCCTCAGTGATACACTGCTCAGAAGGCATGAGGCTGGCACCCAGTGCTTGTCATGCATATCGTAGATGAAAGCAGTCTTTAGAGAGGTCATGAGGGATACCATGAGGTCATGGTGGTGGAGTTTCACCACAGTTCCCATGTCAGAGGTCTGGATGGAGTCACTGTTCCAAAGGTAGCCTTGGAATGGAGGCAGCCACGTGCACCTTTCTGCTGCTGAGCAGAGACATTTTCACAGACTCACAGAACGGTTTGGGTTGGAAGGGACCTTAAAGATCATGCAGTCCCACTGCAAATCATCCAGTTCCCAGCCTACAGAAAAGCTGGGGAGGTTTTTTTTACCAGAGAGGGTACTGATAGGACAAGGGGGAATGGATGAAAACTGGAGGAGGGGAGATTGAGGTGAGACATGAGGAGGAAATTGTGGAGTGTGAGGGTGGTGAGAGCCTGGCCCAGGTTGCCCAGGGAAGCTGTGGCTGCCCCATCCCTGGCAGTGTTGAAGGGCAGGTTGGATGGGGCTTGGAGCAACCTGGGCTGGTGGGAGGTGTCCCTGCCCATGCAGGGGGTTGGAACTGGATGATCTTGAAAGTCCCTTCCAACCCAAACCATTCTATAATTATTCTATGATTCTAACTTTTTTAAAGCCCGTCATCTCTTCATTTGAAAGAGCAAAATACATCAGATATCTAGGTGTGGAAGGTTGCATCAACTCCAAGTATATGTGTTTTGAAAAGGTTAGATTCTGATTTGGATGTCAAAGAAGCCAAACTACTGTGAAGAAAAAAGGAAAGTTTAAAAAAGCAAAGGTGCAGTTGTGGTAAGAAGGCACAGGTTAGGTAAGGCTGCTGCTTGGAGAAGCACAACTGCCATTGACTCGGATGCTCCAGAGGAACAGAGCAAAATATTCTTGCTGTTTGTAAGGTGTGATAGGCAGGAGGAGGCAGCTCAGCACACCTCTTCTGAGATTGCTGGGACTAAACAGTGTCTTCCCCAAACAGGTGGGCAGATTCTCTGCTGCAGTGTGAGTCTGTCTAGGCAGTTGTTTGTTAAAGAACATGTTTCTGGTAGGTTCTGATCTACAGTATAACTACTAGATTTCTCTTGAAGAAGCCATATGAATAAAACCCGGTGTGAATAAAAGTTGGCAAATCAAAGAGATGGGAATACACAAATAGGGAAGCAGTTATTGGCAGTGATTTTGCTACTCCCAAATGCTATCAGGCTGTTTTCTTAATAAGCATTCTAGAAAAGCTGAGTCTTAAGAAGCTTAAAGAGTAAAGAGGTTTTGTGGATCAGTCTCCTTTCTCTTTCAGTGAAATCAGTTTTGTTATCTACTGGTTTTTTTCCTGTTCTTTTTGCTTAGTCTCTTGTTGGTTCTTTTCTCTGTTTTATTTTTCCTTCCTTTCAAAAATGTATTTTCCAAATCTGTATCATCTCAGCAACATCCCTTCCAAGATGTACTTGCCTCATAGTGTTCCTCTTCACTGCAGGCCTCAGCTCTTCTTATGCCAATTGGTCTGCTCCTCTCCAGAGGACCCAGGGAGGCAATGGTCCTAATCTACATCCTTTCAGGAGACAAGCTCCAGAAGAATTTATGTTTGTGGTCTTCTCTTGTGGAGGCCAGAGGGAAAGAAACAGTGGTGATTTTTTCTCTCAGTGGGCCTGAAAAGAACTGGATTTGACCAAAGTGGTAATGATACAGCTAGATTGGACCCAGAGTCACAGGATCATGGAATGGTTTGGGTTGGAAGGGACCTTCAAGATCATCCAGTTCCAACCCCCCTGCATGGGCAGGGACACCTCCCACCAGCCCAGGTTTCTCAGAGCCCCATCCAACCTGGCTTCCACAACCTCCCAGGGCAACCTAAGGGAAGAGCTTCAGGTTGTTCAAGCTGGAATGCTCTGGGCCTGGCAGAGCACTGCCCCTGGGTGAGAGACACAGACATCTCTTTTACATCACTGTGACAAAGTGGAGGAATCTGGTCTCCATGCTTTCTGCACCTGGGCAAGAGGAAGTTTAAAATATATTCCTGCTTGTTCCTGAATGTGCTGGGAGTCACAGGTTTTAAGTATCTGCTGCTGAAGTGAAGGGTGATGCTGTGCACTTAAGTACAGTTCTAAACCAAAAGCAGCACTAGCACATCTAGCCTAGGTCTGGTAGTGCTGACATGGTCCTGACATCCCCTTTTGGGAGCTCTAGACTAATAACTGTGTGCAAATCACTACAGGTGCAGAGAGACTTCTCTTTTAAGAAATTAAATCCTCTTATTGCTGATATGAAGTACAGTTGATTTCAGAATCCCATGGGAGAGATTAATCAATGCCAACAGCGTGGCTTCTCAGGACCAAAATATTCTGGATTCAACAAATGTTTTAACTACAAGTCATGATGAAAAAAAACCCTAAAAATTACATTGAGTATCTGCAGCTCTCATGCGAAACAGAGCTGTGCTGTGCAAGGTGGTTGCACATTTGTTTGTATTTTAGGTTTTTCCGTGTCAGATTCCTAAGGGAAGTTGGTTATATTTAAAGCAGTAGCTCTTTTAATTGCATCCTTTATTCTTTATGCAGCTCTAGTTTGTAGTATGTAATGTGTCTTACATGAAGATCTCTCTTTCTCTTTAAGGCACGAGGAAAAGGAAATAAAATGGACTACAAGAAGGTTGGTAAATTACATTTACTTCTGCTTATTTTTAATGTTTCTTGTCATATTTTCAAGGATTCTTGGCAGTTGAGAGAAACTTCCTTATTAAAGATACAATTTGTGCATGTGAGAGAAGGGCTTGTGCAATGTCTTGATTTTTAAAAGCCAGTAATGGTTCTGCTCTGAAGTATCAAATACAGCTATTTAATACTTCTTTTTTTGCCATTATTTATCTCATTTATTTCCTCAAGCTTGGTTTTGAAACCAGGCTTCTGATGGCTTTTGCTGTCTCCTTTTTCTGCAGTCATTTGCAGGTTAGCTCCTGTCAGTGGGCTCTCTACATTGGTAGAGAACACTGCTACATTTTTAATCTCACCTTAATGCCATGCCATCTATTAAAAAAACAGACACACACACACACAGAGATGTTTTAAAATAATTTGTGTTTCTTCCAATCCCATGAAAACTTTTAGCTAAGTCACCACTGCATTTGCTGCTGTGACTGCTGTGTAGTAAAAGCAGACCTGAACTAACCAGCTTGTCTACTGAAAGTAGCTGGGACACCATTAAGCTCTTAGGGAGCTGTTGGACATGGCTGAGAAGGTTGTGATTGTGGTGGAGACAGAAGGTGAGGCTGAGTCCCCAGCTTGCTTACTGAGCATAAGCCTGACTTGTTTAAGTAGATCCTGAGGGTCCAGGTAGTTACCTCCAGCATCAGTGGGAGATAATACCTAAGTGATGGAGTCACATGAATAGCTGAGAATTGCTTCTTGATCTGGGACCTGAAGAGTGTCACAGCTGTCACTGCTGCTTCTTTAGAAAGCTAGTACACAGGTACAGGTCAAAAGTAGTTATTATAATGATGCTGTATTAAGAAAATTAGTAATTTGTATTATTTAAAAAGCTCTCTGTCCTTGCTATTGGAACCTAAAAAAGATTTCAACCTTAGCTTGCTATTCAAAATCATTGTGCTTTTGGTTTTATTCTACAATTGAAGGAACTGATACAAGTGTGAGTTTCTAAATCACCACTGAGATCACTACTTTCCTTCTTCAAATGTCTGTGTATGTGAGACACTTCTGTGAATGACTGAGCTAGGATACTTGCTTTTGCACATCCAGAATGGATTTTCTCCTCTTAATTATTATAATTGTGACCTGCCTGATATCATTTTCATAGTTGTTGGGTTTTTTCTCAAATAAAAAATAGAGGGGAAAGAAGAACATCTCTGATTACTTCACTGAATTAAGTATTTGTCAGTGTATTCTGTATTTTGGCTTTTCCTTCCTGTGAAATTGAAAACTTAAAGTATGCTTTGGCAACTTGGACACTTGAATAAAAAGAAGGGGAGAAAATTCTTCTTCAAATTTTGTATTTTAAGTAGTTGACCTCAGCCAGAAAGCACATCATTCTGCTAGCACCAGGTAATCATCTCTTCCCTAAGCACAGGTATGATGAGTTTAATAACACAGTGAAAAATTCTCCCAGGCTTCTTTGAGCTCAACAATAATCAGCTTTGTTTTTTGTAGAAGTTAACTTCAAAACTCTGATGTCATGTCCCTCTCTTCTATGTTTCTTCATTTAAAAGAAAAGTGATCATTAGTCCTTGCTAAATGAACCTTGTAACCTATAGCTCACCCCAGCATAGCAGCTCAGCCAGGACGTGCACACAGCTAATTAAGAGGCCTGTTGTGAGTACAAATTAGTATATATTATTAGTATATAGTTGTGGGGGTTTTTTTGCCCTTTGCTGCATTGTCTTATTTCTACATTGCTCAAGTCAGTGTTCTCCACATTGCTCAGTCTTCTCATACTCAAGGTCTCCTCTCATCCTTCTATTCAGTTGCTGGAATTACTTGAGTAATCAAATCTGGGGGCTTTTTTGCATTGATTCTCAAAAATATCTCTTCTATAATTTTGTAAAAGTGAAGGCCACCAAAACTTAGCTGTAGAGCTTCAGTGTGCTGCTTAGTTGAGATTAAAGTGTTTATTTAGCTGAATTCATAAATACATAGATAAACAACAATGGTCAGCTGTTCTATCTTCTTAAGAATATTTCACCTTACTTGCTGTGGCTTTCAGTGAAAACCATGAAATAATGTAAATTTGAGAAATTGAGATCCACCCAATTAACATGCCTCCTTCAAAGGCAAAAGTCTTCTTTCAATTGTGAGACTGCTCCAGAATTTTGCAGTGTTCTTTTAATGCTTGTTACATTAAAATGGTAACCCTGATTTTTTTTTTCACTGAGAAAAGAATATCTAGATGGGACTAGTAAATTAAGTGAGGGCTCTGACATAAATATAGAAGTAAAATACTTCCTATTAATTTAATTAGGTCTGACACTGTCAGGTCAATAAGGTCACTATGTTCTGCAAAATTTTTAGTACTTTGTTTTCCCAACTTTTCTTCAGTCTTTTTATCAGAAGGACTTTGATACCACAGAAGATTTAAAGATCTGTGTTTCTGAATGTGTTTTGTCACAACTGGATCTGAATGTTCCACTCTTGGTTTTTTTTCCCCTCTACCATCACACCACATCCAGATAAATTATTGATCCATCATTGTGGTGTTTGAAAGTCTCTTCCAGAGATGAAAAAGCAGTTTCATCTCTGTCTTACTGCTGTTTCTGAGGTAACAAAAAAGAAAGTACCAATATGTGGCAGAGACAAAACTCATGGATGTGATTGAAAGAGACAGCAACTTCCCTGTCACCCTCATTTGTGTATCAGATTTTGGCAAAAGTCTTTTGCCAAACCTTTTTAAAATCAGAAAGCTTTTATCCATTTTACATCTTCTTTGCACTCAAGATCAGCTGTGTGATTCTAATAACTTGAGATTCTCGGTTGAATTGTTTACTATTTTATAATATCAATTAAAAACATCACACTGCATGGCATGAGTGTCAGCTTCCCAGATGGTAGGAAAGAGCTAGAGAAGAAAAATGGGAAAGGTGACATTCAAAAGCAAGGAGGTTTCTCAGTGGTAGCCTCCTGTCATGCAGCTAATGGATAACACCACCACGGTGCCATCCAGTTGTGTTGCTTCCCCTCCCAGCTCCCTGACTGCCACCTTCCTGCATTCATCCTGCTGCAGATCTGACTGCAGAGCAGGTGGACTGTCCCTTGGCATGAATGACAGTCCCACAGAACTGGCAGGGCTGGAAGGGACCTCTAGAGATCATCTAGTCCAACCCCCACTCCAGCAGGACCCCCTGGAGCACATTCCACAGGGCTGCATCCAGGGGTGAATATCTCCAGAGAAGGGGACTCCACAGCCCCCTGGGCAGCCTGTCCCAGGGCTCTGTCACCCTCACAGCCAAGAAGTTTCTCCCCACTTTTCAGGGGCACTTCCCATGTTCCAGCTGGTGCCCGTTGCCCCTCGCCCTGTCCCTGGGCACTGCTGAGCAGAGTCTGGCTCCATCCTCCTGCACCCACCCTCAGACACGTGTAGGCAGTGATCAGGTCTCCCCTCAGCCGTCTCTTCTCCAGGCTGAATAGAGAAGCCGTGGAAGCCCCATCCCTGGCAGTGTTGAAGGGCAGGTTGGATGGGGCTCTGAGCAACCTGGTCTCGTGGGAGGTGTCCCTGCTCATGCAGGGGGTTGGAACTGGATGATCTTGAAGGTCCCTTCCAACCCCAGACATTCTATGATTCTATGATATGGCCATTGCCCCAAAACTGCTTCTCTATTTTGTCCAGTAGCTTTTAACTTGAGAGTTGGAAGCAGTCCTGAGATAAAGGTCTTGAAACCAGATCCCCCTTTTCACAGAAAGTGCCTGTTCTTCTGAGTTTTGGTTCTGTTCTTGGTCCAGCAAACTTCAGAAGGTTGAGTGGAAAATGCCTCTATTACAGCTATTTGGTGCTTCTGCTTGTCTCCTGAAGAAAAGGAGATGGAAGCCTGGAAACAAAGTGCTGATATGAAACTCTCCAGTGGGCCAAGGCACGATAAGAGGCAGTCTTCAAGGAACAGTTGGTGGCTTGTTACCATCTACTGGCAGGTCATGCCTACAGGATATGGGTGCAGAGGGAGATAGTGGAATGTAGCCTGGAAGTTGGAAGAGATCAGAGAGGGCTCCTTTCTCCTCCTCTCTTAGTTTCCTGGTATAAGTTGGCTGAAGTAGGAGCTGATATGGAAGTGATGGGGAGGAGGAAGCTGGAGAATTAAAGCCCAGTCAGCAGTTTGTCCTTCCACATGTGTTCTTGACATTAGGAATGAGAAACCTTCAGCACTTCCCTGTCGTCTGTATCTTATATTCTCTTCCTTAACCTGTAACTCTTGGTCAGAGCCATCTCTCCTTCTAGCCACAGGCTAGGGAATGAGAAGGAATAAGAATAAATGCATTGCAGGTCACACGGATGAGGCTGGGCTTGGTGCAGGTGGAGCAGGTTGAGTGGAGGAAGACTCTGCTGTGTTCCCAGCCTGTGAAGATTTTGTTGGGATAGTGGTTGCTGCTGTTGTTGCCTTTTCTTAGGTAGGCAGAACAACCATCAGACATAAAACTTCTGGATTCCCAGCTTCATGTGTACCAAGCCAAAGTGTGAAGCCTGGTCAATATCTGAATATATTGAGGAAAACAGAAGGTGCTGAAGAAAAACTTGGTATGTAGAGGGACAGGCAGGAACATAAAATTTTCTATCTGAGTCTTAACTTGGCTGCACGATTGCAAGACTATTCTCCAGAGCTGAATTCACAAAACAAGACACCCTGAATAATTTTTCAGGGTTTTGGCACCTTTAAAAATTTGTAGGACTCTGGTGCCAGTGTTCTAAACAAAAGCGTAGAAGTTGGCATGCAGTTCCAGCAGTTCAGCTGGAGAAAAGTGTGCTGAAGCAATCTGTATTTTGACTTGGATTCTGTTTTAATTATTGAATGCCACTCTGAAGAAGCTTGTGTTTTTGTGATGGATGAAATTTGTTCCTACATGTGAAAATACCCTTGATGCACAAAATGATGCCATATAAGTAGGGACTAAAAGAGCAGATTCCCTTATTTAGAAGAAATTGATGAGGGAGCTTAATTAAAGTTTAAAAAGTAACAAAGCAGTTTATTCTGCTTTTCTGTTTATTTGCCTCAAAAATTAGCTGCTCCTATCCAAATGAAATAATTAAGAAAAATTCATCTAAACTGGATTTTTTTACTTTACTTAGTTTGTGAAGTTCATGACATAAAATCACTGAAGCTCAAAAATTGGGAGACAGCCTGAAAGTGTAACTGGAATACAACTAACAGTACAGCTAGAGGCTTTTTTACATTCAGCAGGGCTACTGAAACGTGGTTCCCTGTAGAGTTACAGACTGTATTTTGACTGTATTTCTGCATTTCACTACTTTTCTTTGTTGTTTCTTTTGGTTTTTTTCCTTTTGCAACCCCAGCTGAGATGGGGTTGGTGTGCAGGCTGCTTAACCCAGACTGGTTTGCCTCAGAGTGGGCTTGTTTGAGTTGACCAGTTTGTTGTCACAGAATCATAGAATGGTTAAGGTTGGAAGGGACCTTAAAGATCATCAGGATCCAAGCTCCCTGCTATGAGCAGGGACACCTCCCACTATTCTGCAGGTGGAATATCAAACAGAAAAGCTTTTAAGGACCATAAATTGTTTGTTATCTAGGATGATCTCTAAGCGAAAAGCTGAGGAAGGAACTTGCCATATGAACAGGTATTTTCCATTTTGAAGTTCCTGGAACATTCAGTCAGATGTTTGTGTTGTGATTCCTCCACACACAGCTTGACACCAGCTTTGCAATTGTTTTGGCTTCAAGGCACTACTTGTGGCCAAGGGCTTAGACAAGACAGGCATGTAAAGGGATTGTACTCCTGTGTTAGATTTCTCCCCCATTCCAGATTTAGGTGCTAGGAATAAGACACAGTACATATAAGTGTCACCGTTTGACTCAGGTCCGACAACAATGCTCTCGATCCCCTCCCCCCCAACCCAGGTAGGGAAGGAGAGAGAGAAAAAGAGAGAGACTTGGCTGGATTGAAAACTAAACTACACAGCTTTAATTAAAACACTAATGAATGATACAAGAAAATATATACAATTATGTACAGATATGTTCAGGAATGGGCAAAAAGCCTCTCGCCTCCCCCCACCCCAGCAACTCCCCCAGCACTTCCCTGAACTGGGAAGAGTCCCGAGGAATCCCGGAGCTGCTGCTGGAGAAAGCAGAGAGTTATGGGGGTCACGAGAGATCAAGCCTGAGGATCGACGGTGATGGATGAACAGAGTCCTCCCCAGACGCTGGCCATGGACGGAAGAGAAGGGAGAAGAAGAAGGAAGGAAGTTGTCTTCTGTGATCTCTGACCTTCCTCTGAGCTTACGTAGATATATGGAATGGAATATCTTTGGCCAATTTTGCTGTCCATCTAACTCAGCCTCCTACAGGGGGGTCACAGATCTCCCCATAGTGTCTGAGCCGGCAGAGTGCAGGTGCGGCCTTGAAGCCTCAGTAGTTAGAAAAACATTCCACTGTCTTATCAGCCTAGCAGAACACACTGTTGCTAGTTACAAGAAAGCTTACTGAAGGAAAAAAAATCAGTAAAAAGAAAAATTGGCTTCATCCTGGCTCAAACCAGGACAATAAGCAATGATCTATGCTGAAACTAAGCTCCTCTGGTCTTTGATCAGTTTGCAGATCTTGGTTTTTAGGAGCTATTTTCTTTCCTGTTTACATCTCAATATATATTTGTAGCAGTATTACCAGGTAGGCTAAACCTCTTAATGAGCCTTAGTGAATTGGCAAAGTTTGCTGTGAGATGTCTGGGTCCTACCATCTCACAAAGTTGTGCCTCAAGGTATCACAGACTCACAGACCTGTCAGGGCTGGAAGGGACCTCCAGGGATCATCCAGTCCAACTCCCCCTCCAGCAGGACCCCCTGGAGCACATCCCACAGGGCTACATCCAGGGGTGAATATCTCCAGAGAAGGGGACTCCACAGCCCCCTGAGCAGCCTGTCCCAGGGCTCTGTCACCCTCACAGCCAAAACGTTTCTCCCCACCTTTCAGGGGCACTTCCCATGTTCCAGCTGGTGCCCGTTGCCCCTCGCCCTGTCCCTGGGCACTGCTGAGCAGAGTCTGGCTCCATCCTCCTGCACCCACCCTCAGACACGTGTAGGCAGTGATCAGGTCTCCCCTCAGCCTTCTCTTCTCCAGGCTGAACAGCCCCAGCTCCCTCAGCCTTTCCTCAGCAGGGAGATGCTCCAA